AACATTATAGTGCATATCAGAAAATGAGGGAAAACCAACTCTGGGCCAGTGGAGGAGTTTCTATTTATGTCGATAACTCTCATCGATCAGAGGAAATACAAATAACAACAAATTTGGAGGCAGTGGCGGTAACTATTTATACCAATACGAAAATCAATATTTGCAATGTTTACCTTCCACCTAACCTAGAATTCGAAGCAAATGATCTAGAAAATCTTATACAACAAATTTCGAAGCCTAGAATTATCCTAGGAGACTTCAACTCTCATCATGCGGTGTGGGGAAGTGCAACAACGAACAGAAAAGGCAGAATCCTTGAAAACGTTATAAATACTGCCAATCTCACTATACTAAATAATGGGTGCAAAACCAGGTTCAATTCTTTCTCTGGAAAACATTCGGCTCTAGATTTAACATTATGCGAATCATCACTATCTCCTAACCTAAAATGGGAAGTACTACCCTTTACGTACGACAGTGACCACTACCCAATATCCATAACAGATGAGAGAAATCATGAGGCAACACCACATATCTCTCTCCGTTGGAAAGTATCCTCGGCAGATTGGCCACTCTATGATCAAATCATGAAAGGATCGATTCCACTGGAAACCCAAGATGATAATATAAACAGCATGGTAGGAAATTTTACCCGCATGATAAACGAAGCAGCTACAATATCCATAGGAAAAACATCTATACTGAAGAGACATCAACCAGTTTCATGGTGGAATAAACAATGTGAAGAAGCAATCAAATCCAGTTAACACGCATTCAATAGGCTCAAAAAACACCATACCATGGAAAACCAACTGGAATTTAGGAGGCTCCGGGCCCAAGCTAGACGCATTTGTAAGAACAGCAAGAAACAATCTTGGCGGAACTATGTTAGGACTATGAATGTATCCACTCCAATATCCGAGGTCTGGAAAAAAATCCAACGAATCAAGGGTACGAACCCAAACAGGAACATCAACTCGCTCAAACAAGAAGGTACAACTACTAGTACTCATCAAGGGATTTCCAACCTTCTAGCTATGAGCGTTCAAGAGTGCTCGAGCAACAGCAATTATAGCCCAGCATTCCGAGAATTCAAACAGGCTGCAGAAAACGAACCCATAACCATCTCAGAAAATCCGGATGACCCCCTCAACTTTCCAATCACTATGGAAGAGCTAGTGGATGCAATGTATCCTGTTAAAGACACATGTCCAGGACCTGATGAAATTCCCTTTATACTCCTTTCTAAATTACCTCCTAAGGCCATGGGACACCTCCTGAAGATATACAATCAGATCTTTTCATCCCATCAGTTTCCAGATAGTTGGAAAGTTGCAACAGTCATCCCTATTCTCAAACCAAATAAATCTAGAACAGATCCACAATCATATAGACCAATATCACTAACATGCACAATGTGCAAGGTCTTAGAGAAAATATTAAACCGTAGATTACAATTCTTTTTAGAAAGAAACAACCTCCTGATATATCAGCAAAGTGGATTTCGCAAACATCGATGTACATTAGATAACATAGTAAGCTTGGAATCCACCATTCATGAATCCTTTGCGAAAAGACGTAAAGTTCTGGCTATATTCTTCGACCTGAATAGAGCATATGACACCACATGGAGATACAAGATCTTGAAAAATTTGAAAACATACGGAATAGATGGAAATCTTCTAGCATTTGTTACGAACTTTCTGAATAACCGATTATTCCAGGTCAAAGTGAATAACACCCTATCAGATGTCAAAGTACTAGATAACGGTACCCCACAAGGTGCCATTATGAGTGTAACATTATTTTTAGTTGCAATTAATGACATAACCAGAAATATTCAGAATCCGGTCAAAGCGAGCCTATACGCAGATGATATGGTGTTATATATTAGCAGTAATAATATATATTCAGCAACGAAGCTCCTACAACGTGAAATGTCAAACCTAGAAGATTGGTCCCATCAAAATGGTATGCAATTTTCAACTGAAAAAACCAAATGTATGATTTTCAGTAATAGGCCCTCGCCTGCACACCCTACTCTGAAACTATACGGAAAGCAATTGGAATTTGTCAAAACCTTCAAATTCTCAGGTATCATATTTGATGAAAAACTGACATGGAATGCTCATATACAATACCTCAAGAAGCATTGTACAAACGGCCTCAATTTCCTTAAGACCCTTGCCAGCCAAGATTGGGGAGCGGATTCTACTACACTCATGAAAGTCTACAGAGCTCTGATCAGATCTAAACTCGATTACGGATCGATAGTTTACTACACTGCAAAAAAATCTCTGCTCAAACAACTGGACACTATTAAAAATACAGCAATCAGGCTTGCTATTGGAGCATACCGTACCAGCCCTGTAGTGAGTCTTCAAGCAGAAGCACAAGAACCTCCTCTTGAAATTCGAAGAGAATACCTCACCCTTTCCTATGCCACTAGAGTATCGGCTAACCAACAGAATCCCACATATAGCCAAATTTTTCCAAACAACCCTAGAGAAGGGTTAGATGAAACTCTCTGTCGTTTTCCTACAATTCACCAGCGAGTAAAAAAGAACAGATTCAACGTCCCGATCACTACACCTATATCCTATAAAATCCCACCGCCTTGGACAATACGCATTCCACCATGCAATACCAACCTAGCCCTTCTCCCAAAGGCATCAACTCCAGATTCAATATATTTACAAACATTCCGCGAATTGGTGACAACATATGAAGGTCACAAAATAATTTATACAGATGCCTCGAAGTCCCAAGATGATGGAAATGTGTGTGCCGCTGTGGTTGTAGCTAACACCTCCATTCATAGCTACCGACTCCCTGCTTCGTACACTATTTATAGTGGAGAACTGCATGCCATAGCGAAAGCAATAAGATTATCTGCTAGTTTGGACGAGAATAGAATAGTGATTTTCACAGATTCCATGAGTTCCCTGAAAGGAATACAACAACTTTACCCTAACCATCCTATCCTGGAAAAAATCAGAAGAGAACTGTATCACTTGTACACCCAAAATAAAATGATCGAACTGGTATGGATTCCCTCGCATATTGGCATAGATGGGAACGAAAAAGCGGATCAAGCTGCGAAAGTTGCTTCAACGGATCCATCCCTCCATATTGCTGCTGACAGCCCGTACATGGACATCAAACCTGTAGTACTATCCTATTCAAGAAAACTGTGGCGCGACAAATGGCATTAGATGATCAACAACAAATTGAAAGAGGTTAATCCAGACTTGAACTCAACACCAGAATATGCCGGGCTTAGCAGAAGAACCCAAATCACCCTATCTAGACTACGAATCGGACATACCCGACTGACACATGAACATCTTATAAAACGAGAAGACCCTCCGAAATGTGACGATTGTAATACTCAAATCTCAGTCAAGCATATTATACTCGATTGTCCAAATTTCCAAATTGAACGAGACATAGTCAGTATGCCAGATGATATGAAAACTGCCCTGGGACGAGGAAATGTGGACCGTCTAATGAACTTCCTGAAATTGATTAATGTATTTTAAAAGATATAACAACAATGTCTAAATAGTAATAAGTATAAGTGTAATCAATTGTAAGGTATTGCAATGTATATAATTCATATTGACGCCGCTAATAACCCCTTAGGGTTGATGCGGAATAAATGAAGAAAAAGAAAAAAAATTATAACTTGAAAACGCCGTAACCGATTTCAATTTTTTTTACGGCGATGTGAAGGTAAACCTCGGCGGAATTAATTCCAAATAAACAATACTGGGTGTTCCATTTGAAAAAACTCGTCTCCGAGTCATCCCGCATTCATAAAACACCCAGTAATGTTGAAAATATTTTTGAAATATGCAACTTGAGTAACTGAAGAAGTTTTTCTTTCGAAGTTTTTCTCTATAGGTTATGGCTTTGGAGATATCGAAGAATTACGCAATAAATGGACACACTGTATATGGTTTGAGGTGGCTGAACTATTTTTCACTTTTCATGTTCATATTTTTTTCTTTGGTTTTCTCTGATATCATCTGAAGCCAAATATCCATTGCATTATTTATACGATGAATATTATTGAATTATCACAATGATTTCACCTCTGAGGCTCATTAGAGTACGGTTTATATAATACTCATATGTATTAATATCATCAAAACATTACAACACTGTCAGGACATACTTGGAACGGTTCATATGAATTCGTATTTAATTTCTGCTCCACTACACAGTGGAAGCATGAATGACTCAACAGCTTGCGAAAAACATATGAAAATATTTAAATTTTTGAAATCCTTTCCCCTCTGAGTATCCCATGAGAGACAAAGATAAGATAATTGTCCTGGCATATACTCTTCTAACTACACAAGTAATTTATATTTACCTCCATATGGAAAAAGTGAGAATGGTGTTCTATTTTTTTTTTATTTCTGTATTGCCATTTTCGAATTCACAATAATCCACATTGGAACCCTGAAGACAAAAAAAGAATAAAAATACATATTTTCTGTTGTACTTCTTTTTGAAAGTTGTAGTGTGTATTGACCAAAATCATGTTTGGAAGTCCCGACATTTTCTCTGATTTCAGCATGAGCAATTAAAGGGAAAACAAATGATAAAAACAATGGAATTGAACAAACCAACTAAACCACCATTGCAGATTATGAATTAAGAATATATTGAAGAATCAATTGAGTATCAATATGATAGACTGGAACATGTTGTTCAATCTGTTCCAAGCATTTTTATAAAAACAAATAACTGTTTGAGTAATCGAAAATATGGCTCGATGATGAACCATCACAGTTCATGCTTTCTATATTCTTATTAGTTATGGAATATTATGCATGTATTTTTGAATATAAAAGATTTACGAAAACTGTCACCCAAAGTCTGAGCTTTGAACTCTGAAGAACGCTACATTGATGAAAATGTGATATGTTTTTCGAATTTCTGTGCGCTGTGGAATGTTTCGAAGAATTTGAGTAATTATTTCAACTCACCAGATAAAATTATCGCCTGGGGGTAACCAGTTTCTGATTGTTGCCGAACAGCTTCTTGAACTACCCTGTTGAGTTGAATACTCAAAGCTAGGTTCCTGGTACTGCTCAGGGTGAGAGGATTTCCTACATCTCTATAGGGATTCACACAAAGAAGTATGGGTCCGACGTTCGTCTGAAAAATTAAAAACATTGAAACCTGAGTTTGTAATCGGCAGCGTTTCATCAGAAGCATCAGAGATAGAAGATGAATGGAGATTGCCGAAGAATCTCGCAAAGTTGTGAAAATGCTAAAATGTACTCAATAACGAGTATATTATGATACTGTATCGTGTATTATCGTGTAATATTTGTACGCGATCAAATAGTTCAGTATTATCTACTAGGTGTTTGTGGAATACCAAATCCGACTGAGTATCTGTGAAATACCAAATTCGGATGTAATCATATCGTAACACTGCTAACATGATCTCGAGAAGTTTTCAAAATTTGCAGTATTTTTTGAAATAAATACTCCATAAAATATATAGTTTTCATTACTTTGGAAGTGAATTCTCATCGCGATGTGTAGTGAACAATATCTTCTGGAATGACCCCCTGCTCTACAATTTCAACAAGTCAAAGGTGTTCGGAAAGAAGTTATTGCCGCGTGATCACTAGGGCTAGACTCTGTCGCTTTGCTACGAAGTTGTGCTCTGCGTGGTCTTTGATACATGAGTGCAGGCTCAGCAACTAGATTGGGATTTGTGGAGGAAGGACACATTCGCTGCGTACGAGAATGTACCTCCTCAGTTTGCGCAATCTGCTCGAGTTTCGCGATTGAGTGAATAGGTTGTAATGCCAATTGTTGTCGGATGACTGGTGGGAGATTGCGGTGAATTATTCGCAAATGTATTGTCTCGTTAGGAGGTTCTTGAAGCTTCTTGGATGAGTTTTGGATCTGGGAACGAGAGATGATGGACTTCTCATACCTTGGGTGCGCTTCCTAATGTCATACCGAATCTCATCCTCGTACTGGGAAATTGAGTAGATACATCTTAGTTTGGACTGCAGTTCATATCAAGTGGTGATGAATTCACGGATGGTACGATACCATTATAGCGCAAAACTACGAGTATAATCACTGTGAAATCATAGTGTGGATGAGATGAATCATTAAAATGCAGTTGACATAACCTATGTTTCGCCAAGGTAGAATTTGAATTGTTATGATTGAATACAGGTGATGATTGATGATCTGAATTAATCGCGATAGGTTGAACATCCGGTTTGATGCTAGGGATATGTGGTCTATCACCCAAAACTCCACGAATTATTTGAAGGACGTGAGGCCTACTCTACGAGATACTGGCACCCTGGTATCATCAATAGCTAGAACTATATTGGACCCTGTACAACATTGTGACTTCTAGCCATGAAAGTATTCGGTTTTCGTTCAGTTTTGAGGTGGTATCCTATTGAGGAGATTTTCACTGTTTGATGAAAATTCATCAACCTTGGGACGTACTCTGAGGAACATGGATCGATAGTGCCACAAAATCCAGGTCGTGGTGCAGGACCATATCATTGAAGAAAAGAGTTCGGCAATATTTGTCTTCTCAGAAAACGACTTTCATTGTCAGATGATACCCCATTGGATTCTGAGCATTAGGAATTTGTCTCTTACCCTAGAGTATAGTTTTGTAGAGATTGTTTCAAATTACTGAGGATTTTGGTACAATGAGTCACAATACGATTGTAATATATCTGTGAACATTATATTGAGTAAATTTATTTGCGCACCTTGTAGCGCACTTTTTATTAACATTGGTTTTTAGGATACCTATATGTGAATAGATATGAAGGTCGTGAGTGGACGGCAGTGTAGTCGGGAATATTCATAGTTGAATGTAAAGAAGTAATGTCGATAAAATAAATCGCGTGTTTGCTGAAATGAGTGTTTTCATGTAACTTTGAATACTACAAAATGGCGACGAGGATGGGATTCGGGAAAGTGTTGTGCTAACGTGGGGGATTATGAATTTGAGTTGAAATCAAAAAGTGTGGTTCATTAAAGTACCGGAAAGAAAATGGCAGCGAGTTTCGTGGGACATTTAAGGGAATTCAACCCAAGTGTAAACGATTGGAGTATATTTAAACCACAGCTTACACAGTATTTCATTGCTAACGCAATTGCGACTGAAGAGGTTAAACGTGCAATTTTGTTGAACTGTTGCAACGAAAGTAGTTACCAGCTACTGTGCAGTTTGTGCATCCCACTTAAACCAGAAAACAAATCCTATGATGAGTTAGTCAAACTTTTTGATAATCATTTTACCCCAGCAAAGTTAGTTTTCCCGGAAAGACACAAATTAATTTTATAGTGCAGTTAAATCAAAGGACGAATCTGTCCAAGAATGGGCAGCCCGAGTTAGACAACTTGCTTCAAAATGTGAATTTGGTGCAGAACTTAATGTTTTGTTAAGAGATAAATTCATCATGGGGTTCGAAAGGGGACCCATAATGGACCGGCTGTTCGAAGAAAAGGAAGTGGGACTTTCCTTTGACAAGGCAATCGAAATAGCTTGCAATAAGGAAGCTAGCAATAATAATATTCAGGAAATAAGGATCAAATCTGAACCTGAGGTGTATCGTATGGGTGAAAATTCGCAGTTAGGAGTGCCAAGGAGGCAAAATTTCAATAATAGTGGTCGCTTTCCAAGGCATATTCCTGCCAACCAGCAACATCAACATCAGCCATCGTCAGTTAGTAGTCCCAGTTCTAACGCAGGCGCATCAGCAAATATGGCTGCTGGATCAAGATGTGCTGTTTGTGGTAAACATCACCCAGGACAGTGCAGGTATCGTACATATAATTGTAACGTTTGTGGAGCCAGAGGCCATCTTGCACCGGTGTGTAAACAAAGAAATAGCAGAAACAACTTTTTAGATGTTCAATCCATTGATAATCTTGATGAACTATTTCAAATGAATGTAGACGGTTATCAACCAATCAGTATTGATGTTTTTGTAAATGATATAAAAATGCTATTTGAATTAGATACCGGTGCCAGTCTGAGTCTAATTTCGAAAGAATTATACTATCAGCACTTTTCAAATATCTTGGTGGAAAAAACAGATAAATTGTTCACTACATATACTGGAAAACACATAATTCCGATGGGTAAAATAGCTGTGAATTTGACCCACAAAAATCGTTCGGAAAACATGTTTTTGTATGTTATTGATAATGGGGGACCACCCCTATTAGGTAGAGATTTTTTTAATAAATTTTCTCTAAGCATAAACAAAGTCGATTGTCATGAGAATGTTCTGGAAAATTTTCGCGAAGAATTTCCATCGGTATTCAAAAATGAATTGGGATTATTTAATAAAGGCTGTATCCATTTGCAACTTAAACAGAATGTACAACCAAAATTTTTCAAAGCAAGGCCTTTGCCTTTCGCTCTGAAGGAGAAAGTTGAAATAGAAATAGAAAGGCTTTTGAAATTAAATGTGCTGACGCCGGTGGAATATTCGGAATATGGCACTCCAATAGTACCCATATTGAAGAAAAACGGTTCTGTTAGATTATGCGGGGACTATTCCTTGACATTGAATCAAGATTTAGAAATTGATAAGTTTCCGCTACCTCGCATAGAAGAGTTATTTGTGAAATTACAAGGTGGACAATATTTTACTAAACTAGATTTGTCGAATGCATATCAGCAAGTCATGTTAAGTGCAGAATCTCGTTTATTAACTACAATTTCTACACATAAAGGTTTATTTTGTTATAACAGACTACCATTTGGAATTCACACAGGTCCGTCTAAATTTCAAAAAATCATGTCTCAAATGTTAGATGGTTTAGAAGGTGTCGCATGTTTTCAAGACGATGTTCTGATCACTGGTAAACATTGGGCTGAACATGTAAATAGGGTGAAAACTGTTTTAAATAAATTTGCTGAAAATGGTTTAACCGTAGAGATATCGAAGTGTGATTTTTTTAAAGAAAGTGTCACTTATGTCGGATTTAAAATCGATAAGGAGGGTCTACACACATGCCAAGAAAAAGTCGATGCTATAACAAATGCTCCAATTCCGCAAAATATTACTCAAGTGAAGTCTTTTCTGGGTTTTGTAAATTATTACCATAAGTTTATACCTAATGCTTCCACACTTCTGCAGCCGCTTCATAATTTGTGTAAGAAAGATGTTGAATGGAATTTCGACTCGAAGTGTATCGAATCTTTCAATGAGGTGAAAAAAGTTTTGGCGTCCGCAGAGGTGCTCGTGCATTATAATCCAGAGTTACCCGTTCAATTAGCGGTAGATGCTTCACAATATGGGGTGGGTGCGGTTATTACTCATAGTGTCCAAGGGGTGAACAGGCCTATTGCCTATTCATCTCGCACGTTGAGTAAAAGCGAACAACAGTATTCGCAAATTGAGAAGGAGGCACTGGCAATAATTTTCGGTGTGCAGAAATTTTACCAGTATTTGTTTTATAGACGTTTCATCTTGTTAACTGACCATAAACCATTGGTTGCAATATTTGGGCAAAAAAAGGGCATCCCAACATATGCTGCAAATCGTTTGCAGAGGTGGTCTTTAATATTAGCAAATTTTCAGTATGATATTAGATATATTAAATCCAAGGAGAATTATGCGGATTGTTTGTCAAGATTACCTGTTCATAATAATTATGAAAGTAATGATGACCATACTTTTATTATTAATTTCATCAGTCAAAATGAAAATTTACCAATTGATAGCAATATCGTACGCGAGCATAGTTTAATAGATACGACCTTGAAGAAAGTTTTTCAATTTGTAAGAAACGGGTGGCCCAAAAAGGTTGAAGACGACATGAAATTATATATTTTTAATAGGCAGGCCTTCTCGATTATAAACGATTGTTTGATGTTCGGAAATAGGGTTGTGATTCCGACTAGTTTACAGGGTGAGCTACTCGAAGAATTACATAAATCACATATGGGTATGGTCAAAACAAAAAGTTTAGCGCGTTCGTATATCTGGTGGCCTAAAATGAATGTAGATATCGAAAATACAGTAAAAGCTTGTTCCTCATGTCTGCAGTATCGTCAAAGTCCTCCTAAGTCTGCTCTAATTAATTGGAAGTATCCAGTGAGTCCCTGGACAAGAATTCATGTAGATTATTTAGGGCCGTTT